AACCTTGGCTGTGATTGCAAAATGGCTTGACAAAAGGCGCACGGAGCGAGCGTAGTAAAATTTTGTCCAAACCAGGCGCAGACGAAGCGGAGCGAATTTGCGATCATTTTTCGTTCCTGTTTTTACCTGCGTCATGTTTCCTTTTTGCTGGCATGTGCACATTGATTTCATGTGACTGGGTCTGTTGTGAATTTTTTGGGCATGCGCTTCTCCTGCTCAAGTGTGGCTGCTGCCACTGAGAAATTCTTCACCCGCCCTCCCACCATTCAGGGAGTCAGTTTCACTGCCCAAATCGGTTTTTGCATAGGTCGCGGATGGGGGAGTATGGGTGTTCGCGTTGGCTGACCTTGCCAACTGGGGCTGTGCTCGCCCCCTTGCACTCCTTCCATCCACAATGCGTCACGGATGCCCCCGATTGAAAAAGAGTGAGTGAGCGCCAGATTGATTGTCTGTGATTTGAATAAATTATTGATGGACTTCCTGATATACTTGATGAGAGGCTGAAATATTCCTTTGATTGGAAAAATTTCTCCTGCCCTTTTTGAACCTTGGCTGTGATTGCAAAATGGTTTGACAAAATACTCACTTAACTTCACATTATTGCTTGCAACTGAGGTAGCGATTCGCTGTTGATGCTAATGGTCAATTGTTATGTTTGGCTCAAGCAGTCCTTAAGCTGTAGAAGCACTGGGAAATATAGAAGCTTTTGCCATCCGCAGTTGACCAGCAGTATCGACCTTGCAGAGCTTTGAGATCGAAGAGTCAAAAATAGGAAACGCAAACTTTGGGTTTGCCTGGTGTGCACGTGCTTTACACAACTGGCCAGTCACCCATTTACATCCTGTTCAGTGCCGCGGTGAGAGAACCCCCATCCGCAGCATACGCAACATGACAATCATTCAATCAGTGCAGACGTGCTCTCGCCTTTTTTTCTCTCGCACCTTTTTTTTCGCGTTTGATGTGGCTGGGTATCTGTGATGGGGAACCAGAGTATGGAGGATTCAGGACATGGTGATGGGTTTTGTCTTTCGCAATGTGACGCTGAGTGGATGAATACGTTTTGTCTTCAATCCGAGCCTAGTTCCTGTCGCAAAGATTTTTTCCCAACAGCATTCTCGCAACATTTTTTGTACAATGATTTTTGCAGCGACAAAATTTCGATCAAGGCCACAATCAACACAAGAAGAATCAAGGCCATTTCTCATTCATCCCGACCCACGGTCCTTCCGTGTTAGCATGTCACAAAATTTGGGACTGGTTCTTCGAGCTTCATTTCATAGGTTTCGTCCGGTTTGGCTCCTCAGTCCTGCTGATTTGGGTCCTGGCGACCCCACTCATGCACAAGTCCTGTTTAGTGCTGCCGTGAGAGAACCCCCATCCGCGGCATATCCAACATGGCAATACTCAATCAGTGCAGACATGCTCTCGCCTCCTTTTTTCCTCTCGCCTCTTTTTTTTCCGCGTTTGATGTGGCTGGGTATCCGTGATTGGGAGCCAGAGTATGGAGGATTCAGGACATGGTGATGGGTTTTGTCTTTCCCAATGTCATGCTGTGCGGATGAGTAAGCTTAGTATCGTCTGGTTTTATTGATGTCTTTTGTCGTACGTGTATCCTGGTTGTGGGGAGCCTTGAGGATGCATGGTTATAACAATATCACGCTTTGTACACTTGTTTTTTGCAATGTTCAGGGCGTGTGGGCGCAAAGGGTTTCCAATTTTTTTGGCATGAATGCCGCATTGAAACTTGCCGTTGCTTTCAAAATGCGAGTGGGCGGTGCGGGGCATTGAAACTAATCTCTTAGCTCCTTTGCAAAAGAATCCAAGGTTTGCACATTATTTGGGCGAGTCTATATGCGAAAGGCAGCCGGCCAACGGATGTAACAAATGATTCAAGCATGCCTCACAAGTCGCAAGACATCAGCTGTAATGTAACGTCCGCAAAGCACGACCATTGAAGACTTTATAAAGGTCACGTGTACACGACAGAACTGTCGCACAAGGTGTAGCCCGTTTCATACAATCTTACGAGTTCAGATGACGGCTGGGCCACTCCTTGCCGCCGATGAGTGGTGCGATTGGCAACCTGTGGAGCAAACAGCTTTAGACTTTTTGCTTGCGGCGTGGCAGCATACTGCCCCGATGCCATTGTGCAGCAACGAACCTGAATGCACATTTGACACTGTTGATTTGAGGAGAAGCAAGACGAAAGCCGAGCAGATGACAGTGCTGACGATGATGAAGAGGATGAATGGAACCCGGTCATGCAAAGTGGAGCTGGCTATCCAAATGCCGACGATGTGCCAACTTGTCCGGTGGGTGGTGACACTGCAGCCACAGTTGACAACGAAGCGGATGAGGCTTGACAAGTAGGGTCATCATTTAAGACACTGTGCTAGCTGGTAGCTGCGAGCTGACGACATGTTGGCAGCATACTCAGCAGAGAATCGCATACGTGGTTTTCGGATAGACCGATGCCGCACAGTTCTTTCCTTGGCAGAAGATTGGTCTTGAGCACGAGAAATAGTGGCTTGCTAACGCTAGATCATGCATGGATGCAGGACAGCGACAGTGATGATGACTGGGCGCCCCAGTCACAGGGTGCTGCCAATGTTGAGAAATCAGAGCAAGAAGCTTTAAAAGTGCTTCTTCAGCCCAATTATGTCAAAGACACCCGTCCAGAGCATCCCAGTTGCACTGTGTCGCTCGCTGCATATTGTGTCTTTGCATGCACATTGCGCCAGTTTCTTCAGGATGCTGGAAACCAAAAAGGAGGCTGATGCAGCCGGACGAATGTTGCATCAACTCCAAAGGCGAGGCGAATCCGTCGACCATCTAAGCATGTGTAACATGGGCGAGAGAGCTGTTGGTCCTTAGGCCGCCGACTTGGGAAGAGGTCAAGAGTGAGCTGCCTCGTGGGCCTGACGTGGATCCGGACCTTTTGGAAGCTCCCACGTACAAGGACATGACTCAGGAGGAGGCCATCGACCTGGTAAACCGAGGCAGCTTGATGCGTCAGCCGTGGTTAGATCTTCACGTAGTCATCTCGTGCACAGGTGCGAATGTGAATTTTCATGGGCAACATGGACGAATGCCCCTGCACAAGGCGTCCGAAAAGGCTTTTCCTCATTTGATCAAAACTCTTTGCGAAGCCCGGGCGGATCCGGACGGCAGAGATCAGTTCGGTACCTTGTCAGTGGAGTAATCTGAAGTTGCTGGATGGAACAGCCAAGATCAACTTCAGCTTAGGTGAAACCGCACTGCATGTTTTGGCGAAGTCTGGAAGCTGGGATGATTCAATACCAAAATCTAGGCGCTGCGAAGCTATCCAAATGCTACTGCAGCACGGTGCCGATGTGCATGCCGTAAATCCTCGTGGACGCGGAGTCCTTCATTTGGCTGTTACTGAACATGATGCGCCCGCCATCGAGACGCTCATTGAGGGAATGGCAGACGTAAATGCACAAGATCTGGCTGGCTTTACTCCTTTGATGTGGGCAGCTGGCAGAGACGGTGCCGATTGCGTCAAAATGCTGCTGGACTGCGAGGTGCCACAGTTTGTCACCATCCTTGGACTTGCAGACGGTTTGCACAACACCGGCTTGCCAGACTAACTTGTCTGTTGAGGTAGTATTCAGATACAATTTGAAACCGTGTGATGCAGGCTGACATGAATGTCAAGGCAGCTCGTGGCCAAACGGCCATGACCTTTGCTCTAACCAATGGATGCAATGCCATAGTGGACATGCTGGAGAAGCACCAGGCCATTCTCGATGCTGAGGAGGCCGTCAGCCGATGCAATGCCGCTGTGGTGTTGAGGTGCTTCAGCAAACTTGTTCTTCAGGCCAAGCGAATCAAAGAGAGGGGCGAAGGCCGATCTGAAGACGTGCAGGTGCATCTGCAATTTTTTCTGTCTGTTTTAAGGCAATGCCTTGGTCTCACCATGACTTATCTGACATTCCACTAGAATATATCTTTTTCCATTTGTTCGATTTTTGTTCTGGCCTTCTGCTTTTGGCTGCTGACTGTATCTCCTGCTGCTGTCTGCCTTTTCTTCTCGGCTTCCACTCTGTGCTTTTTCTTCTTCCTGCTTCTGGCTTTCTGCTTGCTGCTTGGGGCTCTCTACTTCTGGCTTGCTCCTTTTTGACTTTTTTTTTGGTGGCCTGTCCTTGCCATAGATGACAAGCTGGCAAAACGGCAATTGCCACATTGACAACCCCTAGGTACTAGGCAGTACTAGTAGTGTTACAACAACAAGATTGCCGTTGTTGTTGTTTCTCTTTGACACTGTCATATGTCATCACTCTTGTTGTCTTGCTAATAGTGATTCACATCCTTACCCTTATGATGGCTACTGTTGTCACTGTCACGTTTATGGATATCATTAGTATTCATGCTGCTACTTCTTCTTCTTCTACTACTACTACTACTATTGCTACAACTACTACGCTGCTGCTGCTAGTGCTGCTGCTGCTGCTGCTGCTGGTACTATTCCTACTAGTACTGGTACTACTGGAAGTACTAGGCTTCTTATGACTGCTATTTTGGTTTATTCCCGCTATCGCCACTGCCATTGTTCCTGCTAGTATCACTAGGACGGATCTCAATGACAAGGATTGACTGTCACGAGCATCCGTGTGATAGCTGTTGCCACTATTGCTGTTACCTTGTAATGAATGCTGTCTTTGCTGTTTTTGAGCTCCCTGCTGTAGCGGCTGTGCTTACTATTGCTGCTGATATTATTTCTGCTGCCACTACTCCTGCTACTCCTTCTGCTTCTGTCTTCAGCCACTTCGGTTTACTACGCATGCTGTTTTTTGATTGTTACTGATGTTGCTGCTTCTGTTGCTGATGTAGTGTGCTTTCTATAAGTGTTGTCGCAGCTGCAGTATCTTGTACTACTTGTGGGGCTTATTGTTGATCTTTTTATTGTTGTTACACGTTCTATTGCTGCGTATTGTAAATACTACTATCACTGTTACAGGTTAGCGTGATTGAAGCATTGACATGCTACTTTCATGCAGATATATGCCAGTCCTGCTTTGTTTCCCGGTCTTCTTTGCGCTGCCCTGAAACGCCCTGAAACGTTGGGAGGGCGGCAAGCGGAGGGTCCAAGACTGTTGTCGCTCCTGTTCCTTATGGAACGAAGTTTTGGAGTTCCTAAATCGGGTGTGCATGGGCAGGACCCAAAAGCAGCCCAAGTCCCTCGCTTTAGCCGAAAGGTTCGACATTTACCGTGTTTGAGGCTTCAAAAGGCATTAACTGCTGCAAAGCGTGGTTTTTTGAGCCTCTAGGAAGCCCAGAAAGATGAGTTTTGCCAAGAAGAGAAACCACGATGCAACCATTCAAAAACATTAGCTTGGGCCCAATTTGAAGGTGTTGCTTGATCCACATCTGGTTCCCATGCTGGTGTGCTGAGGAATCCGTCCACACATGGCCTCATTTCTGCACGCATGCGTTTTCATCTGTGTTGTACGCCGCTCAGGCTTCTGCAAGACCGTATGCATGCCATGTGCATAAACCATGGCTGGCGACATCATGAGGGAAGCCCACCCAGACGATTCCGCGTCCTGCCAGTCCAACTGCCACATTGTACTTCCATGAATCTTGGAGTCCTTTTGTGGCTGTGGCATGCACCACCAAACAGAATGATGCTCGGTAGAGGCTTCACTCCATGATAAGGCGTTGTTTATGCCACCAACAGGTTGCCGTCGCTGTGCTTTAAGCAGCGTGTTCCCAATCCATTGATGACACCTGCATTTCACTGCTGCCGGGTTCTGCTATCATGTGCTTAAGCCTCAGGACGCCGTGTATGGTTCCACGGCACAGTCAGTGAAGCTATTCTTTTTTTACAATATTTCAACAGTCGTTTGTTGAATTCTGTGCGGCCAATGCAGATCAAAAAGAGGAGAGTTTTGAAGAGCGTTTGCAGTGGACAGCTTGTCATCGTAACGGCCTGAGCGGCTCCACTTGTACAAACCTGTCTTATATCATGGCGGCTGCACTGCCACATCTGCTAAACAACGGTCTGGCTAAGGCAGCAAGCCCGTGGGAAAGGGCTTCCACCGGCATCAACCCGTATTATCCTGAAGAACAACATCTCTTTGAGAACGTTGTAGAAAGGCACGCGTGGAGCTGTTGGCGTTGGTTTTTGTGTCGGTGTTGTTGTGGGGGTTGTTCTGTGGACACTTTACCACGAACATACTCCGAATGGTGGTGGCGGTGCTGGTGCTGGTGGTGGTGGTGCTGGTGGCGGCGGTGTATTGCTGTTTCTTGTGTTTTTTTCCATGTTTAGGTCGCGCTGTTTTGGCTAGTTGCAACACGGTATGCACCAGCAGCGCAAAACAGCCAACCATTGATAGGGATGGCTTCAAATCTTTGCCATATTGGCTGCAAACTGCTGCCGCTGGACACATGGTTAGCAGCATAGGAGAGAGGTTGAGAGTTTCTGAGGGCATTTTTTTTGAAGACTTTTTCTGCTTTCTTGTTTGACCGTCTTGTTTCTGCTTGGGTTACTCCTGCTGCTTTCTGCGTTTTCTTCTCGGCTTCCACTCCGTGCTTTTTCTTCTTCATGCCTCTAGCTTTCTGCTTGTCGCTTCTTCTTGCTTTCTACTTCCAGCCCTTTTCTTCCTTCTTCCTGCTTCCTATTTCATTGACATGTTCTTGTTCTGAGCACTAAATCTGTCATTGCCATTTTTAGGGCCTGCGGCACTGGCTGCGCAAACCCGAATCCAAGAACTGATTTCTGCTATTTGTTAATGAAATCCTAACCACCTCTAACTTCTTCTTCACATTGGATTTTAAGTTTCTTTTGCCTTTGAACCTTTCATCTCAATGTTTGGAACCAGGGCAGATGTCCCCCTAAGATTTTTCAAGGAATCACTTCCCCAAATCTCCGCCTAAGATATTTCAAAGAATTAAGTCCCCAAATCTCAAATGGCAAGGGGTAAAACCCTAAGGTTTTTTTCAGAGAATCATCTCCCCAGTTATCGTCTCGGCTTCTTGTTCTTTTTTAATCCTAGCATTATCTCATTTAGGTTCGGCTTAAACTACACATGTGGGGTTCTCCGGTGCCTTAATTGTTTTTTTTTTTCTCGGGTTCTGATTAAAATCAAATCAAAAACACTTTAGATCCAATTCGAAGCAACTGAAATCAATTGAAATCCAATTCAAATCTAAGTAGAGTGTGTATAACATCCCTTCAGTTAAGTTGTATTTTAGATCTACTTAAAATCAATTGAAATCGCATTAGATCTCATTGAGATCAGTTGAAATCGTATTACAAACGAAATAATTCAGTTGAAATCTAATGAAAATCTCGTTGAAATCAATTGAAGCTTTATCTAATACTAATTAAACAAGAAGTAAAGCCGCAGTAAAATCAAGTAACATCGCATTCAGATTGTATAGAAATTTCCTTATGAAAGCCATATGAAAAGATCAAAGCCCAATTGCCTATTGTAATCCCCGTAATGACCTCAGAATCCCCCTAAGTCATTATTATGCGGATCCTTTTTGCGAGTAGTCTTCCCCTTTTTAAAAGTAGTACTCTGCGAATTTCTGGAATGGGGATTTCTTTGGGAGGAGTATTTATTGTGGCGGGGCTTATCACTAGGGAAAGCCAATTGTGACAGATTCCGCTAGTGTGGGCATTGCTTTTGTGTTTCCATGTCTTATCACTTATGTTGCATCAATGGCATAGGCATTATAGTCAGCACCCTTCTGAATATCAGTGTTGTCGCTGCTAACCTTGGCGTTAGTTCCATAGTTCTTACTATTTCGCTTTCAATCCAAAACAATTTTTTGATATCCTTTCGAGTAGTGTTATTACTGTTGCTGCCGTCGCTAAATTAGTGTTGCCATTCTTATTGAGGTTGGCGTTGCTATTGTTGCAATCGCTGCTGTCACGGCTGTCGCAAGCAATATCTTTATCATTCCTTTTGTTATCATTGTTACTCGTGCTATTACTGTTACTGCTACTGTTGCTATGACTGTTAGCATTGCAATTGCTTTTCCAATTGCTCTCATTACTACTTACCATGATTATTAACTTTTTGTCGTTGAAACCATTGTTAGTAGCACTCTTCTTTTTATGCATGAATCTTATTCCAATTGATTGCTATGGCACTATATACTTCAAGCATCCTATTTCGACGACGACCGCAACCACTAGGACAATTATGCTGTGGTTAGCCGTGTTGGTGCTAATTGTGTGTTGGTGCTGCTAGTTGGATTCTGGATTCTATTCGTGAGATTCTCGTTGTTGCTGCTGCAGCCACTCCTACTCACTGCGGCTTATTGTTATGCTTCTTCTTATTCATGCATCTTAGCTTCTTTTTGAATCGCAGGGCAATTATCATTAGTGCTACTTTCATGTTGATATCTCATATGTGCCTGTCCTATAGGAGCGGTGCGTATGGAGGGGAGGGGATTAGCAGCTGGCTCCTGCTACGCAACTCCCGTCTCCGCTCCCGACTGCTGAATCATCCCGCATTTACAATTCTCGAGGCCTTGAAAACACATCAACTTGTGCCAAAGATTTCAGTATTGGAGTCCTCCATGAAGCGAAGGGACAAATGGACACCCAACGATGCTGATGATGCTGGCTGAGGGGGCCAGCATCATAAGCATCATCAGCATCATCAGCGTCATTGGGAATTCATTTATCCTTCTTGGAGCCTCCAGTCGTCTGCCCGTGAGCTTTCGGCCAGGCATTCTTGTTAGACGTGCTGCGACTTACGGCCCAAAAGTTGGGTCTCGCTGCAAACACACGCCAAAGCGCGAACCCCGCAAAAAACTACCCGCCAGAAAAAAAATAAATCCAAAATCAATGTCGGGTGCGTTTCCAAAGGTGGATGTCAAACTACAGCACAAGCAGTGCACCAGAAAGAGCAAGGCCTTTTGGCACAAGCTGCAGATTTACGGCATCAAACAAATGAGAAAGAGCGAGCTGTTTGAGCAGAAGATACAAGTCACCAGCACAAATGACAAAAGCGGCACTGTTACATGGACCAAGTGCTTTACTGTCGTGTTGTCGCTTCTGGGGTTGTCTTGCCTGATGATAAGCAACTGAGCTGTTCATTACGAGTTTTTCAGGAGGACTGGGGAGAAGAACTACAGCTGCCGAGACCAGATTGGGCATGCAAGCATGAGAAGCCAGAGGCGCTGCAAGCTTATGCTGGTCGAGTGTATGCAGAGGCAAGGCCAGACAGGCCAGGCGGGCCAAAATGCATGTCCCTCCCAAACCAGGGCCGATCGCACGTACTGTGTGGTACAGGGGGGTACACAGATGGAACCTTTACTTCAGCATCAAGCCTTAGGCTCACGCAAGTTGCATGCTTCATTGTCAAGTGTTGGTTTGTTCTTCTACTTGTGCAAGACCTGAGGCACTCAAATGTGTACGTGGACGCAAAACCCCGCTCGTGAAATGAGTAGACAAAACAGTTAGATTTTCAGACCGAGCAGCATGAGTGCGAGTTCTTCATGTCTAGTGTCGGCAGGGCAGCACGCATTTCTGCACATTGAACGCTGTGTCCATTACAGTGCCATTTGGCGGCACGAGCAGGGCGCAGTGAGCATTCGCTTATAGCAGGTCGGACATCCAGCTCACTAAACAAGTTCTCAAGCGCTGGTGCCTATGTTCCGTGTGTAGTAGAAGCATGCCCGCACCCTTTGTGCTTGAGCCATGCTGGAATGGTTGGACTCCTCAGAGGGTTCTGGTGTCAAGGCGGGAGTCGTCCATGCCCATAACATGCCATAAACGCTTTAGGGTCGCAACTGAGCCGTGCAGGTATCTCAAGTCTACGACTCGGTGACGACTGGTCTTCAGGCATTTTACCGCACGAAGCTGTTACCAATCGAAAGGGACCATTTGTTCCATCAGTTCTACTCTCCAGAACTGACAGACTCTTTCTCTCAATGGAGTTGCAAGTGTGAGGATTGACAGTAGGCTTCCAAGAAAGCCATGTTTGTTGTCATTTTCACGTAGTGGCCAGAGTAACACAATACTGCTGATGTGGAAAAGAAGTGTTTCAATCTGAGGATGCCGACTTTGCATCAGCACCGATGGTGTTGCTCATGGGCCAGTATTCCACAGGCGGCATGTCTTTGGTTTGTTGCATATGGACTCAAACAGTGGTTACTCAGGCAAGACTACTTTCATCCGCCACCTACTGCAGCGTGACTATCCGGGGATGAGAATCGGGCCAGAGCCCACGACTGACCGATTCGTATGTGTGCTGCACGGTGATTCTGACAGCGTGCTCCGCTGGCATGTTTATGCCATGCAGGGAGCTCTTGGTGTTTGTGCTTCATGGCAGTACTCCGGGCAATGCCCTAGTGGTGGACCATGAGCTGCCCTTCACGCAGCTCAAGACTCAGTGGTGCTTTACACGTTTCAAGCGCCCACCTTTTTCATTTGACCTGTTGAGTGAAGCAATGCACGACCTCCGTGGCTGCTCTTCGAGTCGGGATTTCAAACCATAGCAGGATGTTCGCGAGTTCCAGCCACTGAACAACATGGTATAGATGTCAAGCCTCCGAAATTCTGATGGGAGGCTGAGTCACTTTGGCAATGCTTTCCTCAGCAGACTGGAAGCATCAAGGCTTTCCAGTCCAGTCTTGGAAGGGCCGGGTGCCAAGTCATGAGGCGCTCAACGCGTAGAAAGGGCTTTGTCGAATGTCATCAGGTGCGGCAGCGCAAGAATTGCTTTGCAGCTTCGTGGTCGGTTCTGTGCCTGCATGAGCAGTCCTAGGCTTACTCTGATCGACACACCCGGTGTCCTTTCTGGCGAGAAGCAGCGCATCAAAAGGCTGGGTCTAACAACTTCTATCAACTCATGCCTCTCAAATTCCTGAAATAAGTGACTTCTGATTACGAAGGAATTCCCCAACTTTCGTTTGAAACCCAGCTTTGCTGATCTGCCCGGAGGGGTATAGGGGGCTTGTGACTTTGACCAGCTGCGTTGGCCTGGCTCATGGCATGATACGCCCCCACCTGCCACTGCTCGCCAATTGCAATGCCTCCCTGCTCAAGAATCTGGTTTTCGAGACGCTTTGCAGCTCGCTGGAGGACCACCTCTTGGACGCTTGCAGCCCTAGGTGCAAATCTACCTTCGCCGCCCCAGCCTGCACCCTCTTTTCCATAAGCTTTCGGGCCAAGAAATCACTTTCTCATAAATAAGTCTTGGGGTGGCCATGGTTTTATTCACATGGAAACGCTTTGGAATTCAGAGGAAGTGCCACTTAATTCACACATGCTGCTTGCCGATAGCGGAGACCCAACACCGATACCCCAATCATAGGATCTCCGAGGCATTTCATTGCTGTAAGCTCCTTCGGCCCCTAGTTTCTCATTCTTCGCTTTTCCTTCTGGGAAGCTTATGTTCCATCGCTCCAGAGTACTTTCCATTCTCATGTCTGCAATGAACTGCGTTCTTCTTTCTCCTTCTTAACCTACCCAGCTTTAATGCAGCACATCATGAATCCCTACGTAAAATGTTCAAAGTCAAGTCAGAACTTGCTCCAGGATTCACAGCAAGCTCAGAGCAACCACGTGACCAGCATAATCCTCCAGTAAGTGCATTAGCCCATGTGTTTCACTGTCATATGTCATGATGCGACAGCGCGCGTCAGACAGACCAGAGATTGCAGCAAAATCGTCACAAACTCACCGGGATGATGATGATGATGATGATGATGCAAAAAGATGGAGCTGGAGGCGGCCGCCTCGACGTCAAGCCGACAAGCAACACAAACAGATCTCTACCAAGAGAATGCCTACCTTTGTAGTCAACAACCAAGGAGATTCTAAAGAAGTGCGGGCGCGGGCATCGACGCACGGCAGGTAGGCTCTGCAACAAGCCAATAACTTCTGTCCACATCCATCGAAGAATAAGAAGACGATCAGCATGGGCATCGATCAGCAGGCAGACACACCGGGAGTATCCGGGTCAGCCACTGCCCCAAGACGGAGCTCCTTCGTCGCAGAACCCACAACATTCGCTGCTTCACCGCTATCATGTTTGCCGTTCTTGCCAAAACAAGAGGGATTGCGCTGTGTGGTGCCTGATGTCGCTTCTAGTCTGCTCAATTCAACCTTTGATCCTGGAAGTGTAAAAAATTACGGTGTCCGGCGGTGGTGCCCAAGAAGAACTTCTGGAAATGTACTGGTTCAGGTTACCGGCGGTGGTCAAGAATAGATTCGCACACAAAAGTGCCCGGTCATCACCTTAAATTCGCGCAACAAATGGTTCAAAAAGAGCGCGATTCACGTGACTGGTGCCTTGATTATCTTCATTTGATCCATGAAGTGAAGAACGTAGGCTTCAGCCTCGAAGGGCCTGGAAACTCAATCTTGCAGAGGGAGAAGCTTGTTGTTGGATGTGTTCTCAAATGTTCTCATGCTCCCTGGTTTGAAGGCATGCCGTAGATGATTCTGAATCCCTGGATACAACCCGAACTCCACATATATCCTATCCCCCAGCCAAAATGAGCGAGGAACAATCTACAAGGGCGGGGCTCGCAAAACCAGATGCGCATGCATTTGCCAACCGTGCTTGGAGCATCCTGAAGCCTTCGTTTCTTTTTGGAGTTGTGCCGTGCGGCGCTGCGCAAGTTGCCCCCAGCTCAGAAAACCAAATCTCTCTTTCGATCAACGCGGAATATAATTAAGCCTTGACGCAGCAAATTGATTTGGCGGGGGAAGGGGCTCTTGCTGAAATGATACTTTGGTGCTGTGCTGGAAGTTTTTCCTACCTCCCAAAAAGTTTTGAGCCGGCAGAAAAGATCGGGGATTGTTGTGCTGATCTCGTCTTTATCAGGAGCTAATGATTATAAATCACAGTGCAACTGCATATGTTTCAGTCAATGCTGCCCCAAGTCCAGCTTGACGAAGCGACCATGCGCAAGAGCTTGTGTGCTCACTGTGCTCGAACTAGACTTGGTCAGGGGCTACGAGTTCGAGGCTGTCGTGAAGTGGTTTGCAGACCGTGTCGCACATGCCCTAGATGCGAGAGACATTGCAAGTTTCGGCAACACTCATGACAATTCATTCGTTCTCCAGAACTTGGCGGTGTTTTGCGAACCCCGCAGCATGTTCGTTGGTCAGGTATTCTAAGTCATCAACTCATTAATTTGTGCAGTTTGAAGTAAGCGAACTATGCATAGGCTCCACGTTGAAGCACGAGGTCCGGTAGTGTCAGGCCTCGATGTTTTCCAGAAAGCTTCTTTGAACCGAGCCTTGATGGCTGAAGTCAAAGCAAATTCATGCGCGACATGTCACATGTCACATGTCACTAGACTCTGGAGACAATGGAAAGCCAAGCATCCAAGGTGGTTGCATTTGCAGGTTTTGACTGTGTTAGGCCTCTGTCACTAGGCGCAGAGCGTTGTTTCTATTCATCATTGTTGTGGCAAGCTGCTGTGCTCGAAACCGTAGTGCAGCCCTAGGTCGTTTTGCTGTTTGGCAAAGTTTCCAAGATGCTTTTCAGGAGGAAGCATGTTTGTTTGATCTGCCTCAGGGCTGTGAATGCCAAGGACATGATACTGCTCTTCTTCGACGTGTCCAAGCTAGATATCAGCGATGAATTCAGGAGAGGTGCTGGTCAGATCGACGCATAATCAAGCCCATGTTGAAGCTGCAGGAGAGTGATACAGGCCACCAAGGGAAACGATCACAAGATATGCATCTTGCTGAACAAGGCGGACAATGTCACGACACAGCAGCTGATGCGCGTTTACGGAGCCAGGTGCTCAGTCTAAACGGAAGTGTCTCCGATGGTGAGTTATTCCTTGCAACAGCCCAATTCCGATCTTTGCATTGCTTGTTTCCAAAAGCCTGAACGGTGTTTGATCGATGGCCAAAAGCATGACATTAAGTCATGTACTCACACCATGGCATGATCACAGTATGCAGACAGTATGTGACAAGGCACTGATGTGGTCGTTGGGCAAGGTCTTAGACACTCCGGAGGTTGCACGAGTTTATGTTGGATTCCCGGCTGGGTTTGAGTAGGGACATGAAGAATTGAAATGGCATGTCTGGCAACAAGTTAAGTAGCACGGCCGCACATCTGCCAGGAACGTTCTGGGATCAGCCGCTCAAAAATGAGAAGCTGCGGGAGCTGTTCGAGCAAGAGGACAGGTTCTTCAGTCTGCCGAAGTCTGCAAGCGTGCAAGCAGAAGGAGAACGACTTGTACACGAAGATTGCCCAGCTTCCAAGGAGTGCATCACTTCGCAAAGTCAACGTGCCATCCTTTGTACAAATCTCGAAGATTGCAACAGCTGTACCATTTGCACCTGCAGTTTCCAAGAGTGAAGCTCTGCACTGCCCAGGACCTGATAAAGAGAGCGAGATTGGCCAAAGTCCATGCCATGTTGCTGGCCAGGGACTCGGCACAGTTGCCTTGTTTGGGATGCTGGAGGGTCGACGCTGCAAGGACTACTTTTACAAGCGGATGCCGACATTCTTTGGACACGCAAAAGAGCAGGAGAGGATGATACAGGATCTTCCAAACATCTATCAGGAGGCCATGCATGATGCAGAATAAGAGAGCACTTGCCTTCGTTAGTGGAGACAGCTTGAGCAGAGCAACGGTAGCAGGATTAATCTTGTCTAAGTAGTCATGCAAAAAGGTTCTGGCAGGCTTCGCAGTTAAGATTTGGGAGCACCAATCTTCTCTGGCATGGTCGTGAGTTTCGTTCTGCTTCGTGCGCCGTAGGGCAGGCTTAGTTAGCAGTGCGGCAAGATTTTATTTCAGAGCATGTTCAGAGCCAACAGCGACAGATGTTTCCTGCTGCGCTTCCCTGTTTTTCCCGAAAGCGTAGCGAAGGGTTTTGATTAACAGGTTGGCGTGAGATTAAATAGATGGCATGATGTCACTGGGATGATGTAATGAGGTTGTTGTACGTATGCTTGTCGCGAGGTATCGGATCGGATGTGAGGTTGATGGCATGATGTGAGTTTTTTTTTTGGTGAGATTGTCGTGAGTTTGACTCTGATGTGAAGTTTTTGTTCTATCGCCTCTGATGTAGCCTTCAAGAGGGGACGCCATCGCTCAACTTGAGTTCTCGGTGCCCTGACAAATTTTCAAAAGCAGCGGCGCCTGGTGAATTGACAATGTGGCACCTGGAATGGTTCTTGTCACCAGCACAGCCTCGACTAACTTCCCCAAAAGATGTGTGTGGCCCTTTCCACTTGCAGCGCCACCTGTGGTTTGAGTGGATCAAAAGTTGGGCTCACTGGACGAGCAGGAAGTCACGCCTCGGATTACGGAGATTTCGGAGGGCTGTGCAGTTCCCAGCTCTTGAGTTTGCAGTTCTGGTGAACGATGACTGTTGTACGAGCCCGCCCGGCGCATGAAGCGTGACACATTTTCTGTGCAGGCAGTCGATCCGATACACCCACAAAAACGTTGATTCCCCAACATTCCTCACGCATTGAAGGAAAGCGTGCTGAGGGCGGAAGGTATTTAGCTAGAAATATCTCAGAACACTGAATTTCTTTGTTCAAAGTCAGTTGACTTGGACTTTGTGGTGTGGCTGGCATGCTGATGTTTCGGTTGCACTGTCTTGGGATGGATTTTTTGGCGGAACCTTGGGAGGCCTTTTTGAACGCTTTGCATGGCCTTCTTTTTGAGGTACATGAGGTACCAAAAAAGTAGACTTTGCGTTTGTCAAGACCAAGAGCCCGGCTCCAAAATGTAAAGAAGCGCAGTAAAGATTACATTAGCCTTGTAAGAACTTCACAGTCAATTTTGTGCATTGATATTAGTCTCAAGTATGTTGAAAATCCCAAGCTTTCTGCGTTTGAGCTTTGTAGACCAGCTGCTGCCGGGCCTTTGACCTTCGCAGATTGCCGTCCAGAAGGGCATCCCCTTGGGTGATTTCCCTGACCCAAGGATGATGCAGGCAGAGTGAGCGCTTGCTGAAGTATAGCAGATTGGACACTGCTTTGGTCCTCGCTGCAGCAAATCCTGACCCCCATGGACTTTTCGACCTTCAAACCAGTGGACGGGGAGAAGCTGCAGGCTTTGGGCGGCTGCGTGCCAATGTAAATGCTCATCTCATCAATGTAATCGTGACAGGCACTTGAGGCCTTGCTTGCAGTGGATTTGCCAAAGCTCCTGCAGCTCATTCCCGAGGACGGGCTACTGAGTCAGTTTGCTGAGAGGTTGATTCCTTGCAATGACGATCAAGTTTACCTGAAACAGGCCTGATAGATGGTAGCATGTTTTGGCGTTGGGCGGAGGATGTACGTAGCTTTGAGGTCGAGGAGGAAGAATCTTGTTTACCACATCGAGTGGTCCAAGATCTTGATGTCCGGATGGAGTGCGTTGTTCATTACTCGCGTGGTCACGTCTAAAATGTCTACAAGCAGCCACGGCCCATGTGAGGCTCCAGAGTTTGGGGGTTCAGCTGAAAGGTAGCTTGGTCCAGGGTGGGCGCACTCTGCAGAGCAGACGCCACTTTCGGAAAGTGGACGTGAGTCATTGCCGGTGTTGATGGGGCAGGAATCCTGGCGCTGTGTCGTTGGGTGGGCCCGTTCATCCTCGTTACCATTGTCTCGATCGCATTTCTGAAATGCAGGTGGCTCGGCATGCCCGCCCGAGGTCCGCTTGCCATTGCTCGATTTGCCGTTCTACAGAATTCTTGAGAATTGTGCAGTTGTTGGGCCCTTAGAGTAATAGAATTGTTTGCAAGTATGATCGCTAGCAAGCGAACCGCTGCTAGTTCGGATATGTGTGCCTTGCACCTACAAGGGTTCGAACAGAAGTGCTGTGCGTCACTGGTTTCCGCAGATGTTGGTTATACGGAGCCGCGTTGTGCAGGGTTTCTGGATTTGCTTGTACGAGGCCAAAATGGCCTTAGCTAAGCTGTCATAAGCTTGGAGTTGAAGGAAACTGCATTGCAGATGTCACAGACATGATTTTGCCGAAGGCCGGCCTGAGCACTTAAATTACTTAACACGCTGTCGTCAACAAGAAAAGATGATACAAGATGCCAACCAGACGCCGTTGCATCAAGCGCACAATTAAATATGACCGACCTGATCGTGAAGTGAGATGCACCTCCTCGACGCAACGCCAGCTCTCAGCTGAACGGGGCCTTTGCTATGTCTGTTGACATTCTCCGAATTCGCAAACCATCTCGTGGGCTTAAACTAGGAGAAGAAGCTTAGCTGCAAGGAGCCCGCGCCGCGCTAACGGGATTTTTGCCGAGGCCCATCATGAAAAGTTGAAGACATACGATTGCACGAGAGGAGCAAATGCGACATGGCATCGGAGATGCTGCGATTGCGCAGGTCTTTGTCAGTAGACTTGCCCAGATGTGTGCAAGTCTGTCAAGCACGTCAGGTGGTCGGAATGGCTTCACCGTTTGCAGTGATGAAGGTGGAGGGCAACACCGAGCAATCCGCCTACAAGGTGTGCGTGTTCGCGTCCTGTACAGCGTCGAACAAATAGCTTTTTGTCTCAAAATCGAGAGTGGCAGGGCCAGTGGCACCGCATACCTGCTGTGGAGGACTTCAAGGTGGTAGTTGCATGTAACTCCGTTTGAGATTCCGTGTCATGAAGCTTTGATTGCAGAGCATGGGGTCGCTACACACACACACACACACGCGCGCACACCCACACACACACACACACCCACCCACACACACCCACCCACACACACACACACACGCACACACACACACACACACACCCACCCACACCCACACCCACACCCACACCCACACCCACACACACACACACACACACACACACACACACACACACACACACACACACACACACACACACACACACACACACACACACACACACCCCCGCNNNNCCAAAATCATTCATGTTTGAGGCCTAAGCCCAAAGAGATTCATTTTTCTATGAGGTCAGGCCTCAAGGATTTTCTGGTGATAAAATCCTGGGCCTGACCGTCCCATGTATGTCCAACCCCTATTTTCAATACGGGCGTTTCGCAGGCTGGCTTCGATGAGCTGCATCCAATGGATGGGAAGATCAACGCTCAGCAGGCCAAGCAGAAGATGGTGGAGGCGAGCTCAGCACAAATCGAAGTTGGTCCGAAACTCGATGATGCTCCCCTGATCAGAGCCACCTCCCCTCGAATGTCCTGCATCGAATTTGGTCTTTGGCGGATGTTGACAAGGCCGACAAGGGATACTCGGAGCTTTATTGAGTCACAAGTTTCACCAAAGGGTAATGACCATGATTGCACCTGGAACAACCCTGACAGCAAGAGAGGAGTGACCGCCATGCTGTGCTTGCAGGATGGATTCCTAACCCTACCGGAGTACGCCATAGCCATGCACCTGGTGCAGATGAAGCTTGACGGTCAGGACTGGGGCAGAAGACCCTCACATGAAATGCCAGTAAGTGGTTGGAGGAGTTGTGCTAGTCCGCAGCGGACTAAGCTCATTGGAAAATGTTGCTTTGTAGGACTTTGCAGGGCTGCTCTGCTAAGATTACCTGGGGTGCAATGGCAATGCTGTTCCCGGACAAAATCCGCTTGTTTTCTCTCACAGCATACATCGCTGCCACTGTGTCTGACGCCGTCCGACCCTACCTTAATGCAGTGTTTGAGCGAAGTCCTCAAGAAGTGCGCGCTTAGACAAGGCTCCGCGCTGGCTCCTTGGGTACGGGTTTGGCAGCAGTGGAGCATGTACAGCAGCTCCTCTTATATCTCTTATTCGGAGTCTTCCACGAACATCCCATGCGCACCACATCGTTCGTCCCTGTCGGGACATGAGTTAATAACTGAAGTCAAAAACAAGGTTTTTCAGTGTTGTAAGGGTCACCGTCAATTTGCCAGACTTGTGCGAACTCCCATTGCGTAATTGATTTCATCATATCTTTCCTGTCCAGACGTCGCCTGGCTTACGACAAGCTAAGTGACCAGCTTGAGCATGATAGCATGTAACTACGGCCATGCAAAACCTTCCATACAAGCTTGGTCTCTGTCTGCAGAGCCCATGATCTGGCCAATTGCAGAGGGTGCCTACGCGGCACTGATTTGCGCTTTTGTTCGGTTGATGATGTTGATGCAGCCTGAAAGCAGAAAGCGTTCAGGACCTGCCCACCACATTGCCGCAAGAAATGCTGCCTGAGGAGCATACTGCAAAGCTGCTATAAGAAACTGTTGGACTGACTTGTAATCAATGTGATCTTCTCATGGCACACTATTTCCTGCAGGAGCTGAAGGACGTCTGACGGCGTCCCTTACATCAGGCACCTGCAAAATAGGCAGGCCGGGATAAACAAGAGCACCATGGGAGCGACGACCTGGAGAAGTGAGCTAAGAGCACTCCGACAGCTCAGTAGGGAGACGACGAGGGGTTCCAAGAAGGCTGCCACGCGCTGCTGCTCCATTGTTTGAGAAATCCAGTGCGACTGCTGCATGCGATCGGAATGACAGCCACCGGAGCATGTTTACTTGAATTCTTTTGATTTCTTCTGCGTAAACCTGAGATTGCAGCATATCCACCAGTGTACATGCCTCATAATGGTTGATGTGAGCCATCTCAAGTATCATCTAGCTCAACCGGCGTGGTGTTTCGCCGTGTTTGCTGAGATTGTTATGCACAAGCTGAAGCCATAGAGCAAGTCATCATTTTTTACAAAGCAGCTGCTAAGTCACATTCACAACGCTCCGGCAATGCCTCAGCGCTGCAAAGTTGAAGAGGCTTTGCCTGCATTTCTGCGCCTAAGCCCAACAAAATTGCGCATTTCTGAGCCTGGTTCTTCCAGGCATCGAGGGACAGCTGCTGCTTCTTTATGAGCAGGGTATCTCCAGGCCTACAGGGCCTACATGACGACAAAGGGTTGGGTGCAAGGCAAGGCGTGGCAAGGCGCACCAAGCTGACTCGTAAAGACCTGGACTTCATACAACTGTTAACAGTACGGCCTGATAGTGGGAGCCGACATTGCTGCCTCACAGCTGCAACGGTAAGGAGGGGACATAGTGGGGTAAATAGCATGCCTGCTCTCCGACGCATCTCTGCAGCCTGAAATGGCAATACACCGCTAATGGTGCATGCGGGTGCAAGGTGGGTGGTACCCCAAAGGATGGGGGGTAGCTGGACGTTTCAGTGGGCCGTTCGATTTCTTTCTTGCTGGTGGGCACATGGAGTGTTTGGCATGCCATTTTGGAGCTTAGAAAATCGATGTTCTCACAGTGGCCTTATGCTTCCTCGGTTGGTGAAATACGGTTGTGCTGCTAGGGTCTGTGCCGGAAAGATTGAGGAGAACGTTTTGTGGGTTCAGCGCCGGCGGGCAGCTTTGAAAACATGTCGTAAGAAATCTTAAGCTTTCTTTTCGAGGAGTGCAGGAGGATAAGGCTTAAGTACCAAGCGAAGAGACAGTGTTTCAAGCGCTCACCGAAGGCGCTTCAGACGTTTGGTTTCGAACCAATAAGGTACACTCTGACTAACACGAATGCTGCTGCCCAATACTGCCTTACGCAGGCAGAGACTTGTTGGGAGGTTCTTGGATGAATTTGCTTCGCCGAGGTCACTGTGAGGCCTAGCTGCTTGAACATGCCAGAGGATGATTTGGGGCAGATCTCACGCAGGTTCTGCCAGAGCTGGGTTCCACTTCATCACTTTCAAGTTCATCAGCATCGCTACGACAAGATGATGAGGCAGGCTAGCAGATGCAATGACAGGCTGGTGCCAGGCGAGGTCGCGGTGAGCGGATAGGCTTCGTATGGCTTTGTGTTGGCAAGGCTGGCGAGAGAGTAGAGCAAGAGTTTCACGGGGCATCACGCGGTCAATTTTGCAGCTGACAATGCATGAAGGCGGCCAAAAGTGCGAGTGCAGCGGTTCATGGGTGGCAAAGCGACGCCTTGGACAAGCTGCTGCAAGCGACGCTGGTGCCGAGGCTGTATTATGTTTGCGCAGCTTCATGATCTTCATGTGGGAAGCGAGCCAGGTCAAGTGCAGGTCTTCTTCGAGCCTTTCAAGCTCGCACGATGGGCTCTGAGTTCAGTGCCTTAGACTTTCTCTAACGTCGGTAGATCTGCTGAAAAACATCCACTTCCATTTACGTCTGTTCAATTTCTGCACGCAGTGACTTGGGCCTTCCTGTGCAGAATTCGACGGTCTTCGCCGTGCCGAGCACTTGAAGTTCGGCTAACTCCAGCAGAAACATGGAAGGATGAATCAATCGCCGAAATGGGAAATTCGACCAGCATGTAGCAGCGCAACACCTAATTACATGGACCCAATAATTAGTCTTATCTAGACAAGTGCCTGTCGGGTCATTGCGCGAATTCGCCAGTCATGCCCGCCCGCGCCCGATGCGCAGCCTTTGTAACACTGGCGAGCCTGGTCATCTTATGTCCCAGACCTCATGGCTCCAGCAACTTGGGTTGAGTTAGCTGTGCCGGATGGGGTTCGAGCTTGTACCATGGTGGAAGCGAAGTAGATCATGAACTCAGGCTTCTTACTTCCCGACGTCGCTCCTGGACGTCTTCGGAATGAAGTAATCCATCTCTGCGATGTGATGTTGGTTGGTTGTAAGCCTCTTGGTTGGTGAAGCAGTGTCAGCGTATGCAGGACCCGAAATGGGAAGACATGCACGCCCCAGCAGACGATCTTGGGTTGTGGCGGGATTTGCCGCCAGCGAAATGATGGCTCCTCGGCAGTGAGGTGTTAACGTTGCACATAGCATCCACTTGGCTGAGCACTCGGAAGTGCAGGTGCTATCCAATGCAAAGGCTATCGCTTCAGATGATCCCTCATCGGAACTTTTCGTAGTGGATGAAACGAACTTGTTGGCGCCTTCTACCGAGAAGTACTTGGCTGGTTTGCTGAAGAAGCTCCAAGACGACACCGGCTTGAAGCTCCGCACAAACCTCAGACCTAGCGAGCTTCCGCATAGGGCATGGATCAACTACCCGTGTTCTTGATCCAAACTACCTGCACCTGCAGGCAACTAGGTTTGCAGCTTTTCACTGTATCTGCATATGTCCGTGCATTGAGTGATCTTTGTGTGTCTTGGCCTGGGAGTTACCAGGATGACGGACATCCTTGTAGTGACTAAGGGGTGTTGTGGTGTGGTTGTGTGCTAGACGGTGGATATGGTGCTGCTCTTCCAGCATGTGTAGGTTGGCTTGTTGGCTTGCTGTGCATTGTTCACACAGCAGTCCCAATTTGGCCGCGGTAGCTAATGCAGATTTCAATCGGTTGCTGCGTGACCTGGTCCGTGACAGCTAATCTGTTGCAGCTGTCAGAGCCTGGCCTGGTGCTAATGATTCTGCTAATTACCCTTTCAAGAGTCATGCAATTGCTCTGCCTAATCATGGTTGTTGGTGCAAAGTTCTTCCTCTAGCTGGGACTGTTGGTTGAATTGTAGCTGGAGGTCCCAGACTGTGGAGCACGAAAAGATGGTTATATCAAGCTGACTGACTCCTGGCAAAGCTAGCCAAACGATGTCCACAACTTGGTGGATCTTCTGCTTCCACAGCCTTCTTCAAACTTCCTCGTCAAGTAGATTCCTCATTGCCCAATATTCGTGGGTCCATCCAACTCCAACTTCCCTCGTCCATTCAGCCGCTCTGGCTTTGCTTCTGAGCGGGAAGGCTCTGCGATGTAAAGTATAAAAAATCATCTTCCTGTCTTTCTCTCGCGCTGTCACCTTCACATTCTCAAGGCAGGCTACTTCTTTTCTTGCTTCCTGTTCTTTGCATTCAACAAAACTATTTGCTCTCTGCAGCATGACTGTATACTTTATGGTGCCAATTGGGCAATGCAATGGAGACATGCATGTTTCGGGTGTTAGAAGTCTCCATAATGCGTACAGTGTGTACATGTTTGTGCACAATCCGCCTTTCGTTCCCAGACTTCAGTCATGTTGGGTTGCTTCTTGGCGGCCTCCACCAAGTCCACAATTCATCTCCCATTCTCATCATTCTCTAAGTCTCCAACTCTCTGCGAACAAAGCCGCTGTTGCCAAACTGCTTTCCTTCCAAACTATACGAAATACAAACAGCAGAAATACGTCCACTAGCAACTTCTGACTTCCACTTGCGCTGCTTTCTTTTCTTTTGTTTTTCCTCTCGTCTCCGATGACGCTGGCTCGACCCAACATCCGCAAGGTCTGCTTCCCTCCGCAAGATTGTGCATTGGCCTCGAGTTCCCGAAGGGCGCCAGTCGCGCGCCATGGGCTAGTGTGATCCGGGACCATACTAGGAGAACGTTTACATTACCGCGCAATCTTGCTTTTTCCGGAAGCCGCGAGCCCTGCCGCATCGCTTGCGCTTCAGAGGGCCAGAAGCCGGGCGCAATTCAACAGCAATGGCGCAGCAAGTACAGGAGCTCACGAAGCAACTGCAGAAGGTTTGCCAAGTGGTTTCCGCTCGCGAACACAGTTTTCCTTCCTGATGGTTGACGTTTCCGACATCACAACCTTTTATTTATGTCTTTTTTTGCATTTTTCTTTTTCTTTTTTCGGAGCTTAATTCTCTTGAGCCCGACGTCGTTGCTGGATTTCCGTGTGCCTTTCCATAATGTACTCTTGATTCCATACATTTCCACTCCGGTTCAAGCTCCCGAATCCTTGGCTTCGCTGCATGAAGCAACTTCTTGACTTCAAGTCATTCGGGGGTCAATTTTGGATGTTCCTGTTCGTTCAGGCTTGAAGTCGTCTCTCTACTTTCGGATGCACATTCCACACCACGTCGTCCCGTGTTGAGAGGTCTTGTAAGATGATTAGAATTTTCTTTGATGACCTTTGCTGCGCATGTTGGGCTGGCACGTCCGACCAACTTTGTCACGAAGCTTCGGATTTGGTTGCCAAGCGGTTTCATCAGAATCGGGGAACAAGCCTTAATGGTGGTACCTCTTTTGCAAGTCTGCCACAGTCTCGATTTGAGTCCTGAAATTCCTAATGCTCTGGAAGGTTCAAGGGTCACCTAGCCAATAACAAGCTTAGCCATTCGGATCCCGCACAGTTTCGGGTCATTTAGCCAACAAAAACGCGGGCCTCTTGGCCAATTCAGGATTTTGGGACGGCCTGAAGGGTCTTGGGCCTAGGGTTTAGGGGTTTTGGATTTAGGGTTTAGGGTCTAGGGGTTTTGGATTTACGGTTCGGGGTTTAGGTGTTTTGGATTTTGGATTCAGGGTTTAGGGATGTTGGGTTTAGGGTTGAGGGTTTAGGGGTTTTGGGATTAGGGTTTAGGTGTTTTGGATTTTGGATTCAGGGTTTAGGGA